ACTTAAATACTGGAATACCGAATGATATCAATAAAGCAGGAGGTCTTCCTAGTGTATTAAAAATATTCGTTGGAGCAAAAGTGATGTTAAGGTCGAATATTGACGTGTCAAAAGGTTTAGTAAATGGTAATAATCGGCTCAGATGGTGAACATGTAATTGAGCCAATATCGATACAATTTCCAGAAAAATACGGCTGTGGAATCACTGAAGGGCGAATGTTGCCAATAATACTGAGCAGGGCGTCGACCGTTCATAAGATGCAAGGTTGYACAGTAGATCATGCAGTAATTTATTTGGGCTCTCGACTATTTGCTGCTGGACAAGCTTATGTAGCACTTAATCGTTGTAGATCTTTGGACGGTATTCAAATTGAAGAACTAGACTGTTCAAAGTTCTACTCCATCCATCACATTGAATATGTAAAAAATTTGCTGCGTTTAGTTGCAGAGTGATGTCCATACTCATCTCGTCATAAATTTTATCCACATATATGCTGGAAATCGCTTTTCTAGTTGGAGTCTTGAAATGTGGATTAAGGTCCTTAAAAAAGTCCTTGCACAATAGGTGCTATACCATTTCCAAAGGAGCGCCGGTTACAAATATAGCCTTAGCTAAGTTGTATTGTGCTAAATTCGAAAGAAGATGCTTTTTTAAATCAGATGAAGGCGGAGAATAACTGTCTGTCAGTATCTTGGTTTTTGCCACTTTGGATGCAAGCATGTCTTGAACTCGTTGTTTTATTAATAATGGACTCTTGATGCACGTTATCAAATGTTTTGCCATTTTATTTACATTCGCAAATTTGTACCGCTGTTCGCAATGTGAGCATGAAACTTCATTGATACTATCGCTTCTATGAAAATGTTTCCAAATAGTTTAATTTTTCGGTCTTCCCATCATTTAAAATAAAATAATTAACACGCGCACTTTATTTCACTTACTAATCGCTGGGAACAAATATTTAAGATGAAAACATTTCTTTTTATGCACTTGATTCAGGTTGTTGTTGCCGTCGCTCCCACTCATTAAATTCACATAAGCACGCTGATTAGCGGTTCGATTAAGAATTGTTGTTATTTATGTTCATAGTAAATTTGAAAATGTTCTCATTTCTGTTATTTTACGTAAAAACCAGTATATCTTTTTCAAATGAGTATTTACACGAAATTAGATAAATACCCGGGTATGAAAATGGATATAAATGGGTAAATACCCAGGTCTAAACCCATCTCTATTTGTGACATATTTTTCTTATATCGAGCATTCCACGCAATTTTCACAATAATGCAGGAGGTTTTCCTACAGTATTATTGTTAGTTCATACAAATAATTATTTTTCACTTTTTAGTTTGATATGCTTTCAAAGCGTGCTTTTTAGTTTTTTTTAAACTATATTTATTTCATATATGTAGTCTTTTCATTCCAGTTACTTATTATTTATTTTACAAATCATAAACACTCATTCCAAATAATTTGTTTTTTACATATACACATGTTTTAAATTTGTAGGCAAACCTTTCCGATCCTGATCCTACGCCTTTGGAACTTTACAATATTTTATTAGAAGAGCTAAGGCACGAAGAAAAAGTCAGGAAGCAATTTGATAAACTTATTGAAGAAGTCAGTGGAATATTTGATATTCGTAAACAAGAAATAAAACATCCCCTTCTGAAATTCAGTATATTTGATCCTTTGCGTAACGCATCAGCCAAAGAATTACGGATAAAAGAGGTTCGTATTTTTGCAGAATCCATAACATGTATTTAAGTTTTAATCACCTAAATTTATCGAAGTAGATATGGGGTTAGAACGGGTGATTGAAGTACAGATACTTTTTTCAATAACCTTTTTTAACAGATCTCGCGTGAGTCGTGTCTTCCTATTTCAGTATTGTTTGACATTTCATTGAACATAATTAGCTTACTGAACGCACTCTTCGCAAACACTATCACCCGTCTTGAGACCCAGCATTCATTCTTCTTCCTCTTAATTGGCCTAGACACCGCTTACGCGATTATAGCCGAGTTAACAACAGCGCGCCAGCCGTTTCTTCTTTTCGCTACGTGGCGCCAATTGGATATTTCAAGCGTAGCCAGGTAATTCTCTACCTGGTCCTTAAAACTGAGTGGAGGTCTTCCTCTTCCTCTGCTTCCCCCGGCGGGTACTGCGTCGAATATTTTCAGAGCTGGAGTGTTTTCGTCCATTCGGACAACATGACCTAGCCAGCCGAGCCGCTGTCTTTTAATTTGCTGAACTATGTCAACGTCGTCATATATCTCATACAGTTTATCGTTCCATCGAATGCAATATTCACCGTGGCCAACGCGCAAAGGACCATAAATCTTTCGCAGAACTTTTCTCTTGAAAACTCGCAACGTTGACTTTCATCAGTTGTTGTCATCGGCCAAGCCTCTGCACAGCATAGCCGGACTTGAATTATGAGTGACTTATAGAGTTTGGGTTTTGTTTGTCGAGGGAGGAAATTGCTCCTCAATTGCCWACTCAGTCCGAAGTAGCACATGTTGGCAAGAGCTATCCTGCGTTGGATTTCCAGGCTGAAATTGTTGTTGGTATTTACTTCAAAGTTATGACTGTCAACAGTGACGTGAGAGCCTAATCGCGAGTGCGACGACTGTTTGTTTGATGTGTTTGATGACAGGAGATATTTCGTCTTGCCAGACTCATTTGTTTTGCTTCCTTGTTCAGTCTGGAGAAAACAGAACTAACGGTGCGGCGGGTGTTGAGACCCATGATATTGATATCATCGGCATACGCCAGCAGCTGTATACTCTTATGGAAGATTGTACCTTCTCTATTGAGTTCTGTAGCTCTAATTATTTTCTCCAGAAGCATTTTTAAGAAGTCGTACGATAGGAAGTCGCCTTGTCTGAAACCTCGTCTGGTATCGAACGGCTCGGAGAGGTCCTTCCCGATTCTGACGGAGCTTTTGGTGTTGTTCAACGTCAGTTTACACAGCCGTATAACTTTTGCAGGGATACCAAATTTAGACGTCGCGGCATAAAGGCAGCTCCTTTTCGTGCTGTCGAAAGCAGCTTTGTAATCGACGAAGGGGTGGTGAGTGTCGATTCTCCTTTCACGGGTCTTTTCCAAGATTTGTCGCATGGTGAATATTTCCAGGTCTGAAGCCACACTGATAAGGTCAAATCAGTTTGTTGATGGTGCGCTTTAATATCTCACACAATACGCTCGATAGAACCTTTTATGCAATGTTGAGGAGGCTTATCCCACGCTAGTTGGCGCAGATTGTGGGGTCTCCTTTTTTGAGGATTGGCATAGCACACTTAAATTCCAATCGTAGGACATGCTTTCGTCCGGTCATATTTTACAAAGAAGCTGATGCATACTCCTTATCAGTTCTTCGCCGCCGTGTTTGAATAGCTCGGCCGGCAMTCTATCGGCCCCCGCCGCTTTGTTGTTCTTCAGGCGTATACTTGCTATTTGAACTTCTTCCTGGTCGGGCAATGGAACGTCTGCTCCATCGTCATCGATTGGGGAATCGAGTTCGCCTTTTCCTGGCGTTGGGCGTTCACTTCATTCATTCAGCAGGCTGGAGAAGCGTTCCGTCCATAATTTAAGTATACTCTGGGCATCGGTGACTAGATCACCTTTGGAGGTTCTACAAGGGTATGCTCCGGTCTTGAAACCTTCTTTATGCCGCCGCAGTTTTTCGTAGAAGTTTCGAGCATTACCCCTGTCGGCCAGCTTATCAAGCTCTTCGTACTCACGCATTTCGCCCTGGAGTCTAGTACTACTGATAACCATATTTTGGGATCCGGCGAAGTCGATAAGCCTCAACCCATTTTGGGATGTTTCCTCGTGGAGGCTGAATTTACCGACCGTAGTGCCAAAAATACCTTCTTTGCCCACCCTGGCGTTAAAGTCGCCAAGCACGATTGTGACATCGTCGCGGGGGCAGCTCTCATAAGTGCTTTCCAAGCACTCATAAAAGGCATCTTTGGTCTCATCGTCCGTCTTTTCCGTCGGGTGTGGACGCAAATCAGCGATATGTTGAAGAACCTCGGTTTGCTGTGGATTGCGCCTAGACGTTTATTCACCGGGGTGAATGATAGTACTCGGCGAAGGAATCTCTCTCCCATCACGAGTCTCACACCAAACTTGCGCTTCTTTTTATAGCCACTGCAGTAAATGCCACAAGAACCTACTCTTCTCTGTCCTTCTCCCGTCTATCGCATTTCGTGGACGGCGGTGACGTCAGCCTTTATTTTCATGAGGATATCAACTAGCTTAGCAGCGGCACCTTCCCAATTAAGGGCCGGATATTCCAGGTGCATGCCCTCAAATCATAGTCCTTAATTCGTTTGACATGGCCGTCATCAAAAGGCGGATCACTCATCCGAGGCTTGTTGTTTCCTTTCATTGGGGTTGTTTTTTTTACGTGTTGGGTCCCAAACCCAGCACACAACCCTATGTAGAGGATTTTTCGTCTTCTCACTTTAGCTCGCCTTCAGACGGATGTTCTTAGGCTACCCAGAGGCTACTTTGTCAAAGACCGRAAGTCGTGAGCTGCCTGAGTCATTGTAAAAGAATCGTTTCTGGCCACTCCCAAGTGATAGGTGTTCGGAGAACTTTCCTTACTTGGGTGAGCCATGCTCATATTGTCGGTGAGTGTAAATTTCGTCGTTAGTTTTACGCATTAAATATTTTCAGTATACTCACTTTTTTATTGCCAATACAAAAGGTTTTTTGAGAAAATTTCAGTTGACAGATCTTGAAACATATGAATGCGTATGCTTACTAACAGTTGTTCTTTCCTCAGAGAAACTTTCCTCACTTGCGTGAACTTCTACATATGACTACTCCATCCTCCACAGCATTYATACCTTCCTTTTTATAATAAAATGGGAAAATAGATCTGAGACAACGCTGAGGAATATTGAAGTTAATTTTTCCTAATAAATAGGGATAGTCAATACTTCNGAGAATTAAAATCGAAAATGTATGAAGTCGGAAGATAACTCCGCTCACTGTCCATATAACGGTACAGTTCAAAACTACTAAATGCGCAAAAAATCAATCAACAGTAACATAAAATTTTACCTACGAAATGGTATGGGCGGACTTTATGAGAGCCGGTGTTATGATTGGAATTTTGAGCACTGTGATCACTATTCGGTTCGATACTGTCTTTTGTCTTTAAAATAGATGGCAAAATATAACACAGCGATGGAGAACAGCAAAGTTGTAATTACTCGAACGCAGTTTAAAAATCTTTACACACTTTAAACAAGACGTAAAAAATRGGTATATTAACGTGCAAGTCTTTTTCTTAAAAGACGCTGAAAATTTGTTTTCCATGTTTGACATTTTTTTTACAAGACYCAAAAACTTCGGTTACCCCATTTGCGTCCCAGAACTGTCAGTAATGAGCTCAATTCCTAATGTGTGCTTACTGAGCACAGTCGAAGGTACTAAGCTCTGGATTTATAAACTAAATATAATTTTAAACTCGAATAACGGAAAAAAAAATTCATTGATATAATTATCGTTGTCTTCAATGCAACAGGATATGTGGGGACAGCGAAGACTGGCAAACCTCTCTAAAGCAAAAAAACGTATGAGCATTGATTCTCCAAAAGTAACTAAAAACCAACAAAGAATGAAGGGGCAAACAATTCAAACTGATTTTATGTACTAAATTTGGGCTTAACATTAACTACAACCGGTTCTCACAAACCAACACCAACCAATTATCGTACCTCAAGTGAGTGATATTAATAGAATGTTCAAAAGCTTTTCAATTATAATTGGTAGTGAAAACTTCCCTACAAGTCTGGCAGAGACGAACAAGTGAGAGTAATAACTTCAAACAGTGACTGCTACAGAAAACTTGTGAGCTATAACRATACATTCTTCACCGCTCATTWACTCATTTACCTTATTAGGATTGTTAGGCTCCAACAAAGATTCAGTTACTTCCTTATTTGAT